CCTGGTCTTCGGTCCATCACCTCTAATGAATTAAAGTGAATACATCTCTCATATATTTAATGTAACAGTAGTCTCGAAATCCTACTTACAAACGAACAATAAGTAGTCTCGTCGAGTGCTATAGCAAATATATGTTTGCTTCATCAGCAATCCCAACACAAAATGGGATATGGGGAAATGTCCGGCCTTTCCTCGAATTCACATCTGCACTATGACCCAAGGGCACTCTTGGCAATGTGGCGTAGTAGGTATCGTGATGTGATTAAACGCTGCACTGTCAAGGTTGGAGTCCCGCTGGAGGTTTCTGATGAGACCAGTTCAGGCGAGGTCGGAACTACAGTCCATCCCAGCCTGGTTTAGAATACCTTTTGGGAAAGCAATGGAAATGTAAGGTCTACTCATAGCATTGTAGAACAAATCAACTACCAGTTCCGTTATCACATTAAGCGAAATAGGGCCGGCACATCTTGTATGTCTGATTTACTGGTAGTCTAGTAAGCCTACCCTACATACAAAAGATAGGGCAAATAAGTCAAATCGGGTATAATTGCAATTCTGAGCAAATCTAGTCCATTCTAGCTTTGACAGGGGAATGGACAAAACAAGTCCTTTCATGATTGTATACCCGTCCGAAACTGTAAATGACCAGTGGTGTTACTTGAATCGTGAAACTAGAGGCTCCGTTACTCTCACAGCAATGCAAATGGACCCACTGACTGAGTTAATCAGTTTGAAGCTAGGTACACGTGTGAATATATAATCAAATAAAGCCTGTTATAGTCCAGTTGGATCCAATTTAGCTGATTAAACTATGTTGCAAACTATGCTAAGTCCAATAGTTAAAGCATGACCTGATCTATTAAAATCTAGTCCATTCAAACTATCACGAGTTTTTGCTAATAATCGGTTGTCTAGCCGTTATCAGCAGCCTAACATAATGCTCAAGTATAGAATCGTGAATGCCATTCTATGCCATTCTGGCAGAGTCGGCCTAAAATACTCGTAAGAATAAGAATTACTAGTTAACTTTTTAATTATAATTAAATAATTACATTAATTGTCAATTTAAACTTCTTACTATTGGACGATATATTAATCCAATGACTTGAATTAAGACGAGACAACAATATTTTATTAGTTATATAATTCTTATTTGTTCTAAGAATTTGGGCGAAACATACCTGAAGAGTTTTATCAAAACTTTTAATGATAATCTCTCTCTCTCTCTCTCTCTATCTATCTATCTATATATATATATATATATTCTGGCTAACCATTCTTCGGCAAAGCGGCTACCAAGTCCACCAAGTTGCTAGCCTCATACAAAAAGTAAACAATTCCTATCGATACTCTATACAGACCGAGTCTACACGAACTCGTCAGAATGACAAAAATCCACAAATAAATCAGGTCATTGTGGCCAGTTCAACCACTCCTTTTGAAGGAAGTTGATTCTGTTCGACCTTTCAT